TCTATTTTCTGAATAATTAAAAAAATAAGAAAGTTTGCGAACTTTATTAAAAACCTCTGAAACTAATTGGACATTACACGATTCACAAATTGATAAGTTCAGTCGATGGCTATGACAATGTGTATACAAAGCCTTTGAATTTATATTGAGAACCTGAGCAGAAAGACCATTTATATACCCAGTGACAGAACTGGCTCCATCATATCCCTGACCCCTACAGTTTTTTATATCTAGATTTAAGTTGCTTACACAATTTAAAAGAACATTAAACAAATCTTTTCCTTTAACTCCTTCACTACAATGAATAAATTGAATAAAGTCTTTTCTAATATTGAAATCACTATCAACAAACTGTAAAACTAATGACATTTGCTCTTTAGTAGATGAGTCACAGGCTTCATCTGCAATTATTGAAAAAAAAAACATTTTTGCGAACTTCAGATAGTATAGACTCTCTAATTTCTTCACCACAGCATTTAATAATTTCATTTTGTGAAGTCTTCGAAATGTAGGAGGCATTCTTTGAACAGTTATTAAGATGAGAGCCTAAAACATCATTTTCATTGCGTACAGCAAAATTTAAAAGTTTATTAAAACAACCAGTTCCACATTTCGAATATTCTCCAGCCTCTGGAAGATATTGTGAATCATCTCTGTGGCCTCTCAAAGGTGTATTGGTTTGACCGCAAAAAATTATAGCATCAACAATAGGACAAAGTATTTGGCGATTTTTTATTATTTTTTCTTTTACATTAGTATCAATGATGACATTTATTGGTTGACTTATGCCTGAGGAATGACTCAAAAAAATATTAAAAACAGGCATAGTAAATGCATGTAAACCATTTTTAGTTGACTCATGATTTGAAAATGATCTAATAGCATCAGACCATTTATTGAAAGGCTCCAAATACAAATGTGTTAATCTTAGTTTGAATTTATTGCCAAATAATACACAAGATAAACAAAATGCCCCATCAGTACTTTTAGAATATCTCAGCCAAAACTCTTTCAACCAAAGATATCTAAACTGATGACCAGAATTTTTTGGGAAAATGTAAATTTCATTCGGAATAAACATATTTTTAGTTAATAAAAAAATTTCATGGTCAGATAAAAATTTAACTTTTTGTCTAAAGAAAGCAACATCATTTTGCTCAAAAGACTGGAGAGCATTTAGTACTTCTTTAGGTGGTAAAATAATGTTCGAAGGGCATTCAATATTATTATTATTATAAAAATTAGGTACTTTCCTGATGCTTGAAGATTTTGTAAAAAAAGATTTTGATAGAACACTGTCCTTAGATGTTTTTGAGTGAGAAGAAACATCTTTATTTAATGTTAATGATTGAAAAGATGTTGTGGATTGAGAAGAAGACACTACTAATTGAGAAGAAAAACTATTTGATTTTAGAATACATGATGTATTTTGTAAGACTGCTAGTGCAGTATTGATGTATTTTGCTACTGCTAGTGCAGGTTCTAAGTCTGGGTTTGTTTTATGAAAGAATGTAAGGATAGAGTAAGGATTTTTATTTGGATTTTTAGTTTCTGTGCTGGGTACAAATGTAGCAACTTGATGGTGGTCTGTTTTGTATCTAGAAATTTATTAGGTGACAAGATTTGCAGCAATTTTTTCGAAATTATTGTTTTTGATTTACTGGAAAGTTTACGCTTTTTAGGAATAAAAATTAGTGGGACATAGTGATTATGCTGAAATGTACCTGACTGAAAATTCCGATAATAACAAAACAAAATGTAAAATGGGGAACAAAATTTAATGGGAGTACGTGGTGAGATCTCTTGGTTAAAAAATATTTTATACTTTTCAACACCGAATCTGGGTAACAGGAAACAATATTACAAGAAAGAACTGATGATAAACCTAACAAAAATAAAAAACCAGCCCATTTTTCTGTGTTCTCACAGTTTGCAATTACTTCAGCTTTAATAATATTATTATTTTCGAAGCCAGAATCTAATGCAGAATGAGATACTGACATACACAACAAACTTTTGAGATTAATAAAATGACAACTATAATCAGAAAATATTTTTGAAAATAAAGGATGCTTACAGTAATAATCAGCATCTATATAAATTTCAAGGGATGTTAAAACTCTTAACACATCCATCAGTGTATTGTCAGCAACAAAAAATAATGATGCAGAGCTGTACATACAACTTCCAGATGCTTCAGACCTTAAGAAAAAAAATATATATTTACTTCATGTTTTTAAGAGCTAAACTTCTTTTATCAATAAATTTAAAATTGAGTAAAAAATCTTTGCTTTTTAAACAAATTCATAAATCAAATCAATAGTCAAGAATTCAGACAAACCAACAAACGATTTTGACATGTAGGAATTTAATACATACATCATGAACATATTATATTCATACATGTCAAAATCATTTGACGGTGTTGACACTTATTAAATATTGATTAGTCAACGAGATTTTTTTTATAGATTAGATTAATACGGTATTAACAATAAATATTTTTACAAAAAAGTATTAAATTTTGTAATAAAATACAATAAGATAATTATTTTTGAAAAAAAAGTAAATTGACTTACCTTAGAGCAATACAATGCATTTTATTGTCTTTTAAGTAAGAAGGGATACAAACTTCGGCACATATATTTCTTCTTATTGTGCCATCAATAAAACGACTTAAAAGACCTTCGTTACTAACCATTTTGTTATTGTTGTAAATAAATGTATCCAATAGAGTTTCATAAAAAGTATTTAAATCGACAAGATTATCGGTTTTAAATCTTTTAAATACATCATAAATCAAGTTGTAAGCCATGCTTATACGTTAAAATTTTAAGGAAATACTTAGTTTTTAGAACGGAGTTCTTTGAGTTGCTGAGTTGTTTATCGATCTTTGCAACCAATCAAATTACTGCTGCAAATGCTGCAAAGGATAGTTTACTCTAAACATGTTTTTTTTTTAAACGAATCAAATTGCTACTTTTAATAGCGTAAACCAATGAACTTATCCAATTTTCTCATATCCTGCAAAGTAGAGTTTACATTAGCAAGTTTTATAAATAATTTTCTAATACCCTGCAAAGTATAGTTTACATTAGCAATTTTTATAAAACACTTTTTCAAACGTCTGCAAAGCATAGTTTTCACTGTAAACTTTTTCTAATTATATTTTCTAACAAAAATATATAGATCGGCAATTAACTTTAAGCGGGCGTTAGACGTCATAATACTTATATATTTTTTTTTTTTATTCAGTCACTTGCAGCATAGTCATAAGAAATATGGGCCGTTTTCGCAAGATTCTATTGTTTTTAAACAATAAAAATTTAAAACTTTGAATTTATGTTGAAAACCGTTTATTTATCGTGCTCAGACTACCAATAAGTGCACAAAAATCTAAAAAATGGCAAACTCAACAGATAAACAGTGCTTCGATTACTTCATATTAGATCTAGAATCAGATATATTTTTTTGTAAACTCAAGTTTATCATTGATTTCAGTTCTTTTCTCGTTAAAATTGGAAGTAAAAACGTTTTAACCAAATTTACTTTCACCAGTGTATGATTAAATGTAAGTCGGAGCATAAATTCAAACGCTACATAACAAAGCAGCATTCAAAGAGTTTCTCTTTAATACAGCAAATAAATGCATAAACCGATGTTAAGCAAACGTGTTCTACAAATAAGTTCATGAATTTTGTTCAAAAAAACGATCTTATTGTTACAAACAATCATTGCTGCAACATGTTCTGCAAAGAGATTCATCAGTTTTGTTTTAAAAAACATTCTTATTGTTATAAACGATCTGTGCTGCCTTCCATATATCAGGGATGAGCTTTCAAAGTACATATTTTTAAAAGTTAATACAAAGCTATCATTCAAGTTAATAAAAAGAAGTTATAAAAATTACTTATAGTGCAGTTGAAGATTTTTTATCCAAAATTTATAGTTTTTATTTTGATTTGACCGAGATGTTTAAAGAAGTGACTATTAATTTTCTAGACCATCTTTTGCCACTTTGTTTTTGTGTTCGCTCATCCTATTTAAAAGAGCTATAAACTTGCATAAAAAAGGAGCTGTAAACTTGCATAAAATCAATTCTATATTAAAAAGAACAAATTTGTTTGGGAAAAAAAAAAAATCTAAAAAGGGTTTTTAAACTCCATCAAATAAATATTAGACATTCAATAGAGGTTATTTTGATAACCAAAAATTTTGTTAAAAACATTCTAGCATTTGAACTGTATTGCAGTATGATTGAAAGATGCAATAATAAAGTGAAAATCAAATAAAGTTGTGTAATTTTTTACTTTAAATAATAATGTCATATAATGTAATGAATAAAGCAATTGGTTTAACTACTTAAGCAGTTTAATAATTTTCTCAGGATTTTATTTATAAAATTTTGAAATAATATTAAGACTTCTTTGCAACACTTATCCTTTACTCAAATTCAACCTAATAGGTCACTTTTTAGCCTCTATGGATATTTTTAAAGATTGACAATGCAGCTTTTGATATCCCAATTACCAATAACCTCAAGTTTTTCTTAAAGTCCTCTTTATATGCACAGTGTATAATATAACCACAACAATAAATACATTTCTTTATTTAAAATAGCATTCGAAATAAATATATATACACAGACATATATACATATGTATATATAAGCCTATATATATTTATATGTATAAAGCTTATATATATATATATATATATATATATATATATATATATATATATATATATATATATATATTAGGTACGCGCATTTACGTCATTTACTGAACCGATTTTTGTGATAAAATCTTGTGACTCGTTTTTTTCACTTTTTTTTAGGCAGCGTGGGGTAGACGTAGTTTTGTGGAGTTTCTTTTTAGAAACATATATACACATAGATACTTTTTGGAAAGAAGAGAAGCTGATCTTTATTTTTTTTAAACTTTTATGTATGGTTACTAAACTTTTTAACGGATTATTTTGCTCCTGAATATTTGGTTAATGTTTTCACATAAATTTGTAGTCGAAGGCATGAAGTTTCCGCTTTTTTGATTGTTCAGCCACCTTTATACATGTATTTTCTATTTATGTGCCAAATTTCAACGAAAAATATTAGGGAGCAGATATGTAACGAGGTGCTTTTTTAAATATACTGCTTTTTTGAAGTAGGGTTAGACTAACGTTTTTAGTGGTGTTTTTTTTTAGAAACATATATAAACAAAAAGTATATTTGGAAAGAAGAAAGGTTAGGCTTGATTTTTATAGTACTTTTATTTATAACCACTAAACTTTTTTATGGTTAGTTTTGCTAAAAACTTTCGTGAAAATTTCATTGATGTTCTCACATTAAGTTCTTATCGAAGGAATGAAGTTTCCGCTTTTTTTGTTATTCAGGAACTTTTTTGCATGCATTTTCTTTGTACATGCCAAATTTCAGCCAAAAATATTAGGGAGCAGATAGTATAAGAAGTGTAGGACTTTTGGTACCTAAATTCGGTTTTTTTTGTTTTTGTTTTTGTTTTATCGGTAAGAGAAATACGGGGAGGATAGGGGGGGTGGCGAATGGTAAACAAAAAAATTCTTACTACATTGTATTATTTAATTTTTAATATTAGATTATTTTAATAAATAAAAAATGGTAAAAGTCATAACAAAGAAGACTTCAAAAAGTAAGTTAATTTCTTTTTCATGATAATAACAAAGTTTGTTTACATCATCATGAAGTAAACAAAGATTAAGGATTTTAAACTTATCATTATTGTTTTGTTATTTAAAAAAGTTATAAGTTTTAAAACATTTATCTTTGTTTACATATCATCATGATATGTAAACAAAGATTAAGGTTTTTAAACTTATAGTATAAGTTTAGAAACCTTAATCTTTGGTATAAGTTATACCAATGATAGTATATATTAAAAAAGATTAGGATTTAAGATTAAACCGCTACTTTGGAATATTTTATTAACTAATAGTATCAGATGCCAATGTTGTAAATACACCATATATATAAAAATATACAAATGACATTATTATACTTTAAAGTAAAACTTTATTGGCTTAAGCCAATACAGTTTTTGACAAAATATTTTTAGAATAATATTATTAATGATAATTTTAGAATAACATTATTATTTTTTTAGAATAATATTATGATTTTATTGATATTTTAAGAATAATATTATTATTGATATTTTAAAATATTATTATTATTGATATTTTTATATGAATAAGCTTATTATTAATAAGCTTATTTTTGTAAAATTACAAAGATACTTTTACAATAATATGTTTATTCTTATAAAAGTATCTTGTTAGTGTTTTTCTAATATACAGTAATATAATTTTAAAATACAGTAATATAATTTATGTTTTTTATTATTTTTTTTATTGCTTTTTTTTTAGTTACATAGGTTGTTGTACGTAAAGCAGAACTGATTTGATAACTGTTATTTTTATTGACTGTTGACAATTTCAAGATATTTTTTTTTTTTTGATTATATAACTTTTTTGTTATCTTTAGGCCAATTTGCACAGACTACAGCTGGTAAGTTATTATAGCATAACTTCAATTAACCATTAAAGAAATATATATAAATATGCATTTCTTACTTATTTATTTATTACTTGTCGTGTATGGATTTCCCATTTGCTGCAATATTAATTTTTTAATTTTAGTATCTACCTCTTGTACTACACCTGGTAAGTTACATAACTCTTAATTTTTAATTTGCAAACTTTACAATATGTTTAACTTTAGTTCCTTAGTCAGCTGCTGCAACTAGTAATTTAAAAAAATAATAAATTTAATATGTGTATGCATTTCTCGTTATTTGTAATATTGATTTTTTGTTACAACTTTGTAATTTTAGTATCTACCTCTTGTGCTACACCTGGTAAGTTAAACAACTATTAGTTTTTAATGTGCAAACTTTATAATATGTTTAACTTTAGTTCCTTAGTCATCTTTTGCAACTAGTTATTTAATAAACTATTACATTTAATATGTATATACATTTCTTGTTATTTGCTATATTGATTTTTTGTTACAACTTTGTAAATTTTTTTTAAAATAGTTAGTATAATAATTAAGTCAAGTTTTGTGGCTTGCAAATAGGTACAGCAAGTTTTGTAGCTTGCAAATAGATACAGCAAGTTTTGTGGCTTGCAAATGTGTACCGCAAGTTTATGGCTTGTAAATAGGTACAGCAAGTTTTGTGGCTTGCAAATAGGTACAGCAAGTTTTGTGGCTTGCAAATAAGTACCGCAAGTTTTATGGCTTGCAAATAAGTACCGCAAGTTTTGTGGCTTGCAAATAGATACAGCAAGTTTTGTGGCTTGCAAATAGATACAGCAAGTTTTGTGGCTTGCAAATGTGTACCGCAAGTTTTGTGGCTTGCAAATAAGTACCGCAAGTTTTGTGGCTTGCAAATAGGTATAGCAAGTTTTGTGGCTTGCAAAAAAAAAAGATAGGCGGCTCTGGCTTACCTTCACGTGGTGTCTATTGTTAAAAATGATTTATTTAGTTGCATTGGAACTTAATTTAAATCATTTACTAAAAGTCAAGACATAAATTAATTACTATGTTTCGAAACATTTGTTTTTTTGTTTGTTTGTTTTTTATAAGGTTGGTTGGTTAAATATGATTATTTAAATGAGAAAATGTATACTCGTGCAATCTGGTAAAACAATTCTGTATTTTGCTTTGTTTTTTTAACAATTGCATGCGAAAATGTTGAAAATATCATTTCTATGTGTTTTCTTTTTTACGTTGGTTGAGGGGAAGGGGGAAAACCATTCCTCTCCTCAAATTGTACATCACTAATGTATGTTCTATAGAAAAAAAAATATTGCTTCATGTAATACAACAATATTTTCAATACTAATGTATGTTGTATAGTTATAAAAGATTATTTTTTCTTTTTAACAATACATTTGATTATTGAAATAAAGATGACGTTATTTTTTGTTAGGTAGGGAGGGGGGGGGGGAGAAGTGGTGCATTAGACTTCCTTTATTTAAAGTCAATGTGTACATCAATAATATATGTTGAATAGTAATAAAATATTATTTTTACTTGTTAACATTTAGTTATTGTAATAAAGATTTAATTATTTTTATTTTTTGTTATGCGTTGGGGCAGGGGCGGGGGGGGGCGGTGCGACATACGCCCTTCCCTAAAGTTAGTGTGCACATCACTAATGTATGTTGTATAGTAAAAAAATATATTTTTACTTTTTAACAAAATATTTAATTACTGTAATAAAGATTAAATTATTTATTAGAATGTATGATTATTGTATTAGGGTGTTATAACATCATAACCACATCTACGGCCAACTCTTAGATCACCTTATTTTGTTTGGCAGTGTTCTGGAATCAAGTTATGGCAATATTTTATGCATAAAATCTAACAATTACATTAAAAAAGTGCTTATTTTTGACAAAAACTTGTATTTTCTTAAGGGTTAGATGGTGTTTCATTACCCCCTCTGGCTCCCAAGATACACCCTACGTCCAGGCACCTATATGAACTTGTAGCCCATTAGTGCACCTATCTTTTGATACCAAGATATAGATATTTGGATAAAAATTGACAAAGTTATAATAATTTAAGTGAAAAAAATAATTATTTTGACCACAGTTTCTTCAACAATTCCATATATCTTAAATTTGGTACTAAAAACGTTATAACTTTTTTTAGAATTGTTCGTTTTTAATAATTTTTTCACCTTTAAAATACTGTATTAAAGGCCTTTCTAATGATATATAACATTGCACTATATGATTAATTTAAAAATTTCAGTGCGCGTACCTATATATATATATATATATATATATATATATATATATATATATATATATATATATATATATATATATATATATATATATATATATATATATATATATATATATATATATATATATATATATATATATATATATATATATATATATATATATATATATATATATATATAAGCTTTGCATAAGCCATTAAATCTTGTGATATTCTTGTATTGAAGATAAAAAAATTTTATCTTTTAATTTATACCAAATAATGTTTTTATAAGATTTTAGCTATTAAAATAGCCACAAAATAGCTTTGATACTTTTTAAAAATAAAATAAGGTTAGGCACAGCTGTAATAAATATTGATCTTTTTTGATGTAAATATTTAAATATTGACTTTCATCTGCTTCAGAAGAAAAAGTTGGTTTCTTTAAGTTGAGCTTTAGTAGTATGAGAAACTACTGTATTCTGCCTAAAGAAGGATTTGCCAATGAAAAGCTCTTAACTGGTTGATTTATTGAAGGTAGTAAATCTGTCGATCAAAAAAAAGTTATCTGATATCATATTTTATCTTTAGTTTTAATATATTATAACTAAAGATTTATTTTTATTTATAATTTGTAAAACTTTTCTTCTTGATTCTTTGTTATAAACATCATCATCGGAAGAAAATATTTCCAATAGAAAAACATTTATACTTCTTCGAAAAGTTCCAGAACCAAATATGTAACAATTAAGACAAGGCATTTGCAAAAATCATGGATAAATCAATAATCTTCTTGTAAATATTCTTCTTAATGCGCATTTGTTTACAAAAAGTGTGCACTCATTGGTAGACTGGGTTCTAAAAAAAAGCTAACAATAAGATAAATAATAGCGCTCTTAAACTGGCCGGACTATGTATATTATGACTATGGAAATATATAGTCTGGAAGCAAACAATAGCGCTTTGTTTATGTTTTTGTTTCAGAAATTCCTCGTTCTCATTCTTCCGAAGGTGCACAGTAAGTCAAATAAACAAAACAAATCACATAGCGAAAGTGCACTTCTCTTGATAATAAAGTTAATTTTATAAACACATCCTTACGATGCCTGGTGCTAATTGCTCAATATTTGGATGTCCTGTTTCACGAAGGAAGAAATATACTGAAAGTATCTTTTCTATAATGCATTTACTGCAGTAAGTTATGTAAATCTAGCCGATGGCTGACCAGACATGTTAACTTTAAACACAGTTCTACTTCTTTTACTACGTCTACAAATAGTGCTCAAATAAATTCAAAAGACGACTTGAGAAAATTGAGCCCAGCCGATTTAAAAATTATCGTAAAAAATTGTTCTGAAAAAATAACGAAAAACTTGTGTTATCCAATAATTTTAAGACAAAAGTTTGAAGATTTTCATTTTTCCCCTAATGATGCAGAGGAGTTGTGGCATAAGTTAAGAGGAGTTTTTGAAAATTTTATAGGTGACCCTGAGAACTATTATTCAACATTTTTTGGGCTTATGTTGGAAAATCTCCTACCTAAACATTTTAAAGAACGTACTTTTACCAATACTCTAATGCAAGATGTGGCAAATGATATTTTAAATTATCTTACTGATAAAAATAAGTTCCAAAGTGAAAAAAGTGAGCAACCAACCCTGAGTATAAAGGATGCAGAAATTAAAAGTTTGCAACATTTAGCTGGTTTTATTATACACAAACTATTCAAAAAGTTACACTATTCAAAAAAATCTAGTTCTTTTTATAGTACTCAATGTTGTTCCTTACTTCAAGCTTGTAAAGTAGAACAAGACAATACACAAACACTTATTAATGCTCGCGATAGAGATGGTTTGGGTGAATTCTAAAATTATTGATATATTTTTACAATGTGAACTATTTTTTAGAAAAAAAACTTCAACATTTATTACAGTGTTTTCTGCAAATGATTTTGTAAGAGAAATTCTTACAAATATAATAGTTATATCTAACTTTAACGATGTTAGTATGTCAGCTGATACTCCTGTTACAAACGAAATTAAAACAAATGTGCTTGAGCAGATTATCACTTTGTTTGTACGAGTTCGCACTTTTTTCAGATACTTAGAACAGATACAAAGTTTAAATGTGATGTTTATAATTTACATAAGCACAAACCACTCTCTCCCTTACTTTCTTTAGACTTTGCTATGGTAAGTGAATTTATATTGGATTATATGCATCTGATATGTTTAGGAGTTGTGAAAAGATTAGTGCACAACTGGTGAGAAGATCATCAACCCATAGATTAAACCAAAATGTAATTGATTAAATATCAGCTGAAATGCTTTATATTGCAGAAAGGACCCCTTCAGAATTTCAACGTACTGCAAGATAACTAGATGACTTGTTATATTTTGAGGCTGTGGAGTTTCGTTTCTTTCTTCTGTACTCTGGATTAGTTGTACTAAAAGGTAAGATCTCTGAAAAAGAATACAACTTGTTTCTGGCTCTGTCAATTGCTACACGTATACTTCTTTCTGATATTTTCAGTAAACAAAAACGTTATGTTATATTTTCAAAAAAGTTATTTTATTGGTTTACTAACGAGGCTATTTTACTTTATGGAGAGACTTTTTCATCTTATAATGTACATTCTCTAATACATATAGCTGATAATGTTTTAAATCATAATAAGTCTTTAAATGAGCTATCTGCTTATCCATTTGAAAATTACTTAAGATATTTTAAAAAAGTTGTACACTCAGAAAGATATGTTATATCTCAGACTGTCAAAAGATAAGAAGAAAAATTACAACTTACTCAAAATGTAACAACTCAAGAAAAGACAATTATAATTGGTATAGGGAAAAGAAATAGTGTTTTTTTAATTGCAAAATCTGGGTTCACTATCATAACCAAAAAGCTTAGTGAAGATATGTACCTTGGAAGGTTAATCAAATTAAAATACTTCTCCAATTATTTTAATGAACCAGACATGTCTTCCACATACAATATATTTTTTATATCTACGATTGATAATTATACTGAATCTGTTTTTAAAAAAGAACTTTTATCCAAAGCAATCATGATGCCTTTTTCAAAAGGGGTTATGTTTTTATGATTCTGGTTCATTGTGACGCTAAATAAATGTGTATATAAATTTCCTGTTTAAATTTTTGTCTTTGAATTTTTTTGATTGCTTTAATTTTATTTGTTTTATTGAGGCTAATGAGTAGTCCGTGGTTTAATTATTTAATTTCAGTTGTTTAGTTATTTATTTGATTTAAATTGTTTGATAGATTTTAACTGTTTGATTGATTTGAATTATTTTATTCATTTTAACTGTTTGATTTATTTTAACTTTTTGATTAATTTTAATTTTTTCATTGACTTTAGCTGTTTGATTGATTTCATTACCTAATTTTGTTTTGAAGTTAATAAATTTTTAAATGATAAAAAAAAAAAAAATAGCTAATAATATCAATATTCACATATTGATATATATATATATATATATATATATATATATATATATTTTTTTTATATTACTTCTATCTATATATATATACATATATATACTATATATGTATATATATATAGATACATATATATATATATATATATATATATATATATATATATATATATATATATATATATATATTATATATATATATATATATATATATATATATATATATATATATATATATTAGGGTAAGTCATAAAAATTTTTTTTCTTGTTACAGGCTCTAAACATTGCTAGAAAGTTGTTTTTTTATGTACTAATTTAGGAAAGTATTTACTTTTATGGATTGAACAATGTCTTCCACCCGCAACTATAATGACAAAAATTAGCAGGCCCTATTATTATTCAAAAAAAAAGTTTTCCAAAATTATGTGATGTAGGTACTCAAATAAAGTGAAATTTTATAAAAATTTCAAAAATAACATATTTTTTCATATAAAAATTATTATTTTAGATTTTATTGCATAATAACTATAGTTTTTTAACTTAAAGTGAAAAAGGTGCATTTTTACATATTTTAAATAACAATTTTTTTCGGCAATATGATTTTTATAAAAGGATTTTTATTTTCGAATCTTTTATAAAATTTCGCTTCTTTTGAGTACCTTTTGACATACTTTTGAAAAACTTTTTTTCTCCAAAATATTAGGGTTCCGGTAATTTTCGCAATAAAGTTGCGCCCTTTAAATCTATCACAATCATTCTCATATTTGATAGTATCAATATTAATAACTATTAGCAATGTTTAGAGCCTGTAACAAGAAAAAAAAATTTTATGACCCACCCTATATATATATATATATATATATATATATATATATATATATATATATATATATATATATATATATATATATATATATGTAGTGATGCTACTATATATAATATATACTAATATTATTAGTTAAATTGATGATTGATTTTAAAGATTTATTACATAAATAAGGATTTTTTTAAATAGATTACAATTTTGTTACTTTTTAGTTAATTATGGCTTTTTCAAAAGTGAAATGGGTTGAACCACATGCAAATGGATCAAGTAAAATTCAGTATGGCACTGTGCCAACCAACTGGATTGAAAAAGAAGAAGGGCAAGAGTTTATTTGTTGGCCTTGCAATGCAAAACATGTAGAGCCACACATAAAGCGTTGCCAAAATCCTGCAGCTAATTGGGTTTTTTTTGTTTTAATGCAACATTTCGGAAGTGCAGGTATATATAAGGGTATTAAAATCACTATTTATCAAAATAATACTAAATTTAAATGAATTTTATTTATGTAAGTTAGTAAATTTTTAGACAGTTACATCGGTTGTGATTCAATTAAAACATGCTCTGAATCTGAATCAGACCACAATTCACAATTGGGGAAAAGGAAATACAACCAAGTAGATTCATATGCCTGTCAAAAGCAATCAGGTGAACGTTTTTCTCGTGTGAAAAATTTTTGGTTTGGATCAGATTCTATTGAATACTACTAGTATTAGTTAAGACTACCATGACTAGTACTGGTATTATTGAAGTAGTTCTTATTTTAAAATTAACTTTTAAAATATTAATTTAACAAACTAAAATATTTAACAAAAATTCATCCATCTATATTAACTTTTGGTACATTTACAGAAAAAAGATTAGCTAATGCAACAAAATCAAAAGCAAAAAAATCAAGTTATATAGAAACAAGTGACGATGAAGTCTGTTTTTCCAGTACACCATTTCTAAAATTAGACGGTAACAATTATGTCTATGTAATAAAAAAAATAGTTCCATGAATGTGTTTTTTTTTTTCAAACTGATGAACTAACAATACATTAATGATAAATTACAGATACTGGTTCTTCTTGTGTATATTCATACAATAATTCTGCGACAATTATTTCCAGTGAAGGGGTCAGTAATGTTGAGTTTCATAATAAGGAGTTGTCTGTGTAATTGACTGCTAACTAAATGATAACTAATTTTTTAGTTAACTTGTGAAAAAATGATTAATAAAGAAATTTGTGAGAGCTTGGCAAACAGATAAAGACATTATTTCGGATCAAAGTAAGAAGAAGTTATATTTCTTTCTGATCAAATCTAGTAATTTTATTTTTGTAATTTTATCACCCTAGTTGTAATTTGTGTAAATTAACATAGTTTAATTTATATTTATTTTATTTTCTGAAAAGCCTTTAAACGAACAATGTTAGCAGCAATTGCACGTCTAGAAAAAAAACTTCAATGACTTTAAAGCCTCATTTGAGCAGAATGATTTAAAAACTTTAGTCGAACCTTTACATTTATCAAAACTACGATTTGATGAAATCTTGGATCTGGAAGTTAATCTTTAAGCTGATAGTAAAAGAAAGGATTCTGCAGTGAGAAATTATACAATATTATTTTTGGTTTCCAACTTTAATTATTTCTCCTTAAATTTTGTGTCATTTTGTGTATTTTATAGTTAAGAACTTTTTTTTTCCCAGGTAGAATCATTATGTAATGTGGGTGGAAAATCTACAATAGATATAACATACAATGAAATGAAAAAAGTGATGAGTGACGAGGCTTCCAGCCACTTCAATATAAAAGGCAGTTCTTAGAAAATCTCATTTTGTGGAAAGTGCCCAATATTGTTTTCTGCTATAAATGGTAAGTACATATTTAAGTATTCGCAAGTGTTACCTTGTTATCTTGACCTTTAAAGCCTAAAAAGTGCTCTATTGGTTGTCATCAAATGTGCTGTGCAGTGGCGGATTAAGTCATTTTGGACATTAGCAAAACCATTCTTTTAGAGTCTAATTAAGATTTCAAAAAAATATTTAAGAATAACTTTTATATTTTTAGATGTAATATTGTTAATCGAGGACCTTTTTCAAAAAGTAAATTACAGAAAAAATTACCTTTTATTTTCTACTTTTGTTTACAAAATGAAATTAATAATATTGACACTATTAAAATTTTAAAGGACATTTTATTTATGCTAAAATTAAAGGTCTTTAGGCTATACGGCCTTAGATAACTGTCTAGTTTTCCTAAGCGGTAATCCGTCACTGATGCTGTGGGGCTTCTAATTAACATGGAGCACATTTGTTATTAATCCGGCCAATTGAAACAGGGTCTGCGAGATCAAGGAAAAGTCGGGGAATCCAGATTTCTGCAATATCAGGGAATAGTCAGCGAACTTGTTTTGGGAAATTTTGAAAAATCAGGTAGAATCAAGAAAAATGGCTCTATGGCACACTCATATGAACTGTCAGTTGTTTTTTTTTCATGGCGATCTATTTATACTTTGAATCTAGGTTATAATAATAACAATATATATATATATATATATATTTGCAATTGAAAGCATTTTTCTAAAAGAATGATAAATTGAACTTTTGTAGCTTTAAATTAAGTCAGGGAAAACAGGTTGAGAAACAGGGAAAAGTCAGGGAAATCCATCTTAAAATATTGGCAGACACCCTGTGTAATATTATGTTATTATTTAATCCGATATATCGTTGTTTGTTTCTATTGTGTGTTTTTTTTAAGATGCCATCAAATTACAAGATGAATCAGCTAAAGATAGCGACATAACAACCGCAATAGGAAAGTGGCTACGTATGCATGGCACACTGTTTAAACGTCAAACGACAGAATAACAATAAAATAACAAATAACATCGTTTTGACTGAAAAAAAGAAAATATTTTACTTGTTAATTTAATATTTTTTCTCTTTCTCATTATTTACTAGATAAATAAAAACGGAAGAAATAGTGTTAATTTGTATCTATAAATGTAAGTTTTAACTCATTAAAGTTTTTAGTCATTACTTTTTGAAAATCATCAAGGATCTATTAGACATTATTAGGATATTCTTTTAAGATAAATTAAAAATAAAATTTAATTCTTATTCATTGGATTCAATGCAAAAAGTATTAAACAAAATAGTATCAATTAAGTTAAATCGACAGTAAAAAAAATCCTTAAAGCACCGTTGCAAATGTTAACGAAACTCCGCAGTCACTTAACGGTTGATCAACACTTCTTAAAAGCATTCAATCAATGTTAAATTAACAATTACAAAGCAACAGTGATTCATCGTTGATTGAACAACTGTAAAACACCGTTGCAAATGTTAACAAAACTCTGCATTCAGTCAACGGTGAATCAACACTGCTCGTAAGCACTCGATCAACGTTGAATCAACAGTGATGTGTACAATGGCCATGACCATAGGAGTAGACTGGCCCAGTCGAGTTTATTCAAAGACTATGCGCTTTAGCGAGCAGGAAATCTTGGTGAAGGTTGTAATAATTTAACTTTCTTTCCAAAAAAAAATCATTAAATGTTATTATTGGATCATATTTTTTTTTTTTTTTTTAACATCTTCGCTTCCAACAAGGCTGCAAGCAACCACTAATTAGTGTTGGAAGTTTCTGGAAGAGAAAATATGAAGATTGTAGAGCAAGATAACGATTGAGAGACGACTTAAAAGATTGCAAATTATATGAATCAGGAAAGCAAGATGAAGGAAACGAATTCCAAAGAACTGATGTTCGAGGAAAAAAACTAGACAAATAAGAGTTTTTAGAGCACTTAGGAACAGTAACAGAAAAAGGATGAGATTGAATGACGAGTAACACAAGAATGAATTTTAGTAGATGGCACAAGCAGTTTTGAGCAGTTAGAAAAGAGAGCCGTTTTAACAACTTTTAATATATTGAAGTATATTTTGAGCAGTTTGTTTGACGTTAATATGCTCACTAATATTTGAAAGTACTGTATTAACCGAATTATAAACTTAATGCATATAGTTTAAGATGATTTTAGATAAAATGTTAAATAACAGTTGATGGTTAAAGAATAAGAGCGTTTATACTATAACCATTACGACACGGCAGGTTAGCCTAATCTTAAAGTGGCACGATGGCCATGTTTTAAAACTAATCCTGAACAATTTTTTTTTAATAAACTGGTTTTCATTTCCGATAAAAAACCGTTTGTATTTTGAAATATTTTGAAAATAAAAAACAATTTGGGTTATTATTAATTATAAATTTCTTTTAATTAAAAGTGAAATATATATTAATACAAAAAAAAAAATTAATGAAAATTAAGTTTGACCCTGTTTTTTATCCATGGACCAACTTACCCCGATAGTGGGCACTTTGGTCCATGAGACATAACCTAACAAAAGCAAATTAAAAACTGATTATGAACTTTTAATAATGTTATTTATGCGTCGTCTAGTGTCAAGTTTATTCTGGTGATTATTATATGTGTGAAGAAAAAAATAAATATATATTGCAGTGGCGGATGCAGCATTTTTTGAAGTTTGAAATAGCTAACTTCCAGACATGGAGCAAACTAAAGTTACATTTTAGTTTGCTCGCAATTTTTTATCAATAGGTTTTTAACGTTAACTTCGTTTCACCTTGGATTATCTTGAAGTATTCACATTCTTCTATTAAGTAATACATCTTCATATCGTAAGTATTAGTCGGTCTTCAACACTTTTATTTGTCACTTAAAAAATAAAGGAATATTAACCACTAATAAATTGTATTTCTTAAACATATGGAGTGTATGTTTCAAAAGAAAATTGATGAATTTACTTAATATCTTGATATATTTACTCGAGTATTAGAATATTTTGGTATACTGGATATAACTGTACAGCCGCATTTCTAATGTCTATAAAATACCACGTATTTGAACTTTGATAAGAATTACTTCAAAAGTCAAATCAAAAATAGCATGGAAATCATTTTCTTAGATTCTGATTTTCTGTTTAAACAATAAAAACTAATTCTTTAAACAGTTAACAATCAACACAATGCGATACTGTTATCATTTAGTGCTGATGGAAATAAACCAAATATTTTTTTAAATAATGAATAAAATAGAAGAGAAATCTTAGTGCAGAAATGACGAGAACAAATGTTATTTTGTTGTTTGATTATGTTCATGTCATGAAGCGTATTCCTAATAATTGGTTAACTGAAGAAAATGGGGAAATAGTTTTTGAGTTTGACGGCAATGCACCAGTAAAGAAATGGATGGGTTGAAAATAATTTTTAAGAGCCAGAATCTGCTAATCATTTAAAGCTTAGCAAATCGAATGAAATTTCTCACCAAAACCAAAAAAAACTTCTATCTCACCAAAGCCAAGCGGTAGAAAGTTGGTTCTTGTTTACGAGTTCAAGAATTATCCATCCATAAAAAAGATGTTATTGATGTTTAATTTATTTCTATATTTGTGAAAATTTGGAAAAACTTGTAAACTTAAAGACGTTGTAGTTTATATTTGTTATAAAGATGAATATCATGCAGTTATAAGATCAAACACAGATAAAAGTAAACTATACTTATTGGGTGTGCAAAATATGAAAGAATAAAAAGCCAGGCCCAAAACATGTTAAGCAGCTTATGAAAGATACATTTGAATGTATTACAAAACTATTTTTTACTAATTTTTGATGGTTATACCAATGGTCATTCTTTTAAGAACTTTTTTCTATATTTTTATGAGCAGGAATGCGTAATTATTAATAACTTGCGAAAATTTGAAGATAAATTTTAAGCAGAACCATTGGTTCCACTTTTATTTCTCAAATATTTAGCAATAATAAAATACCCAAGGAGTCTATGCAAAAAGTTTATTACAATTTATCAACTTTGTTGTAATTTTGTTTTTAAGAAAGTAGCTATATATCATTATCAATAAAATTTATTTGCTCTACTAGTTCACATCCGTTTAGTTTTTGGCGTTTCACTTGGCCTCCAATCTGCGGCGTTTTGTCAAGACCCCTATGTAAGTAAAAACTTTTCGAAAAACAAGGGGTTGCACCTTACATTACAAAACTCGCTGAAATTTGGCGCAAATATTTAAAAATTTAAGTTAGGAAAGACAATAAATTTTTTTTCAAACTTTTTTTTATCCCTTTAAGAATTACAGCAACTTAAAGTTTGTTAGATTTTAACTGAATAATGACGAGAGAAAAGTGCCAGAAATGCGTCCGTTTACTATTACCCTTATAATGTGCTACTAGTAATTTTCCAAAGCTAAAATTTGGTATCAAAAATTAAAACCTGTTCATTCTGAAAATTATAGATTAGTATCTCTCAAAACAACAAATTAAAGTTTATTTTAAGATCTACAAAACGCATTAACTAATAAAAATAAAAATGAGCATTGACAATTTTAGCTCTAGAAAAAATCTGACTGATAGAAAAAATTTTTGGTTTTAATTATCTTAAAGATTACTTTACGAACCAATTTGTTTTGGTCTTATGTTTTGCAGAGGAGTGATTGATGTTTTGGTTTTTAAATTAGATTAAAAAAAATTATACTTATTTAAAAAAAAAACAGTATGTGTGTCATGTGATTTAAACTTTTACAAAGTTGTCATAAAATGTTGTTTAATATTTCATAAATTTATAAGTTAGTTACTTTTTATTTTCATTCAGGGGCATCGCTTTAGGAGGAGGGGTATGGGGAGAAGTCTCCACCACCTTCCCCTTTTCCACATTTTTTTCGTTACCAACAATAAAAATGGCATCAAAAAGTTTACGTTGTATGCTTAACTAAAAGCAGTTATTACATTTTTTGCATATTTTCAATTTGAAATATGTGAAAATTTATTTCCATGCATCCCGGCGGGCATTTTTTTTTAAAAGTTACGTTTTAAATGTATTTTAAATGTTTTTCAAACGTCTTCTAAACATTCTTATGTAAAGAACGTTTAAAAGACGTTTAAAAAACGTTTAAAAGACATTTAGAACGTAACTTTAAAAAACAAATGCCCGCTGGAATTGGTTTTAACATTTCTGTCTTTCTATATAAAATATGATATCATTTAAAATTATATGATTCATTTTTTAATATAATAATTTAATGTAAAGCTTTTTATAAATGACAAACTCTGATATGAACGCTTTGCGCCGGTTATTATTTTCAACTATCAGTATACTAAAGTAGGATTGGATTTAGATTTGCAGAATAAGAGAATAATATATGATAATATATGAATATGAATGTGTAATAAAGTTATTAGTCTTATTCTATTATCATTAGATAACTCTTATAAATATTAACTCATATAAAAATTACGTTAAATTATAGAATCTGCGTTTGTTTTCCAGAGCACTACATATGAAAAGTAAGAGATATAAATTACAATGTTACGTATGCAAAGCAGTTTTTAATAACGACTATAAAACCAGTCATGAAAGATCTGTTCATGGTGGTAAAAAGGTTTATATAAAAACAGTGGGGGTCCGAGAGAATTCTTTTGTAAACCCAGAAAATCCTCCTTTGTATCTTTAAAAAAACGAAAAATTGAACAGAAATGCTGATGACAATGTCGAAGTGGATAATGAAATACAAAGTAGTTTATATACAAAGTTAGAAGACATAATAATAACAGAAACATCAACTTCAACATATGGTATATTCATAGAAGAAAAAGCATCATCTTCTAATAAAAAACTTGAAGAGGACGCAAGTTCAAAAATTCAAGATAAGGACGCAAAAAGGAAAACCCGGGTTTTATTGTTGTCCAGAAACAAGCAAAGAAATTTACAGAGTTAAGTTCTGTATCAAATCATTTACCCCAGATTACCCCAGCCGAGAAGAAAATATTAACGAATATTATTAACTTGGATACTAATGAAGTAAGCAGTGAAACAACAAATTGGCCTTGGCTCATGGGGAA